TTAGCTTGTCTGGGAAAGTAGCCTGGAAGCATTGGAATATATTTTTAGAACTTTACTGCTCCTGTGAAGTTCAATGGGCAACAGTAGCTCAGTTGGTAGGGCATTGGCCTTTGAGCCAGAGGGTCGTGGGTTCGAGCCCGACTTTCACCATCGACTCACACTGTCTGCTGTCGTTGTGTCCTTGGCAAGACACTTAACCTCTGGGAACACCAGCCACAGTGGGGCGGCTGCGGCTGTAAAGTGTCAAACTGCCGTTCTGTCCTTAGGCAAGACACTTCACCCCCATTGCCTAGAATGAGTCTGGTGTGTGTGTGAACGGTTGGTGGTGGTCGGAGGGGCCGATGGCACATACTGGTTGCCTCGCTTCTGTCAGTGTGCCCCAGGGCATTTGTGGCTACAGTAGTAGTTTATCTTAACTGTGTATGGAGTGAAAGAATAATGACATGTAAAGCGTCTTTGAGTGTCCAAAAAAGCGCTATTTAAAACTGATTTATAATTATTATTATTGAATTGGTGTAGGGTCAGAGAGTGTTTGGATATGTGTCTAGTGATGGCGTGTTTTCATGGTGTTACTGTATATGTAGTAGTAGTAGTAGTAGTAGTTTATTTTTTTTAGGCACATTAGATCTCAGGTCACATGTTTTCAAAGATTGTATAAACATTTTACAATAATAAAAATATATTAATTCGAAATATACTTTTGGAATGAATTAACTACTACTCCTAAAACAATATTTTATTTGCACGGACCTGCAGCTCCACAAATTGAACTCATATTATGACAGATGAGATGCTCCTTCACCAGGCCTAATATCTCACAGGCATTAGACACGTATGTTTCAACAGAGAATATTAAATTGTTTTGTTTTAAACATTTAATTTCAAATGAGTGATGAATGTGATGGACTGGTATGTATACTGGTCTAATGCAGCCCTTGACAGCAGTGCTAAATGTATGACTTCATAGTACGTATAATATGTCAAAAGGTCCGACATACATGTCCTGGCGTTCATTTCTTGATACGACGTTTTCACAAACAACAATTTGAAATGTAGTGAAATGTGTTTCACTTCGAAGTCGTCTATAAGTGGGAGTCGTCTGTAGTGCGTTCGCAGGGGAAATACCAGGTGTGAATTGAATGGCATATTGAGGTCTAAAAGGTGCGTGTATTCCAATCTTTACCTATATGTAAAGAAGGAAGCGTGGTATGTACTTTATTTTCCCTTGTTCTGCACATCAGCCTCGTGACATTATACCGATCAGGTCTTGACAGGAGATTTTGTGGAAGAATTGTATCAGAATCTATTTTAACTATGTAATTTGTTTCTGAAATACTTTTAGAGAACTCTATTAGTATGAAAAAAATCCTGCATTCAGACGGTCACCTTTAACTTAGTTCAAAATCCTGCCATAGCTTTTGGGTTATAATGCCAATAATAATAATAATAGTGTGTGAACTAGCAAATATCTAAATTGGGGAATTAATATTGATTTTTCACTATTGGAGTTTATAGAGAACTTTTCATTGGCTAATACAGAGTCAATACTGTTTTTCAAGTAAATAAGTCTTTACTGATATAGCGTCTTTCACAGATCAGAGTCACAAAGCGCTTTAAGGGCATTTGTCTCTCACTCCACACAGAGATGCAAGGGTGCCGAGCAGTAGGTGCATGCCGGACCTATTGTGCATGAACCCAATGCACGGGGAGAACATGCAAACTCCACTCAGAAAGGCCCTGTTCCGACCAGGATTCGAACCCAGGACCTTCTTGCTGAGAAGCGAGAGTGCTAACCATCAGTGAGACAAAATTCTTTCAATCACATCCAGAAAGGACCTGAGACATGCATATGTGATCAAAATAAGAAGGGCCTGAGTATTTTGTTTTACTGAACCGTATTGTATCTTTTAAGAATATTGCATTTTGAATTGTATCAAATTAAAGGTCCCCTGTATATCCCAAAATACGTATTGTATCGTGTCATGCGTAACAAGATAGATCACCAGCCCCAGAGTTGAGTAACTATGGTAAAGCCTACTATGCAGTTTATACCATTTGAAGAGAAAAAAAAAAAGTTTGATTATTTATTTTTATCACAGTTAAAATCATCTACAAGATATCATTGTCAAACCCTTCATCCGACAACTCTTGTGGATTTTGATTCCTTAGCCCACCAATACAACCCCCTTAACTTGACCCGCTCGTGCTCTCCTTCAGAAGCTTACAAGGAGTCCTGAGTGCATGTTTCCTGCTTTTGGAAAGAATACGCACACCCCCTTCTCCCCTTTCCTCTCACACGCTCTTCACCGCCGGCTAAAGGAATGTAGCGGAAAACGAGCTACTGCAGATAGACGATCAGAGCCCCTTAATATGAAGCACAATGCGTTGTTCTTCCCATGGCGCATCAGGACGCCGCTGGCCCTTTGATGAGTATCTACAAAGAGATCGGCCCCGCAGTTTAGCCAGGTGTGTTATCTTAAGCCGTGTAATTTTGGGATTGCGTTGGTTTGGTTTGTGAAGGGAGCCCCAGGAGTCCCGCTGTTTATCAAAGGTATATTAAAAATGAATGGACAGGGGTTATCTAATCGAAGAAAAGGAAGGATTCTACTCCCATCAGATCTGGCATTGAAGCCTGTTTATAATCTTTATTAGTCAGACCAGGCACATTTAGCAATCGAGAAAAAACAAGACTTTCTTTGATTTGGAGGTTTGGGTGTTATGCGTGTACCTTATAGATTGTTGTGCGTCACAATCTACTGATCCAAACCATTTGAATACAAAAGTTAATGAAAAAAAAAAATTTAAGACTGTATCTTATACATATTTTGCTCTGACCACATATCTTAGATGACAAATATTTATAAATCTTCCACCCAAAAACCTATTTTCTTACGTAAAAATCTTTAACTCAGATGTTTTTTAGAGAAAATCATTTGTTTTTTGCATCTTTTTGTGCATCTGCCCCTCATGCAATTCGCCCTACTGGGAGATTTCTAACTCTTAACTTGAGTAGGAGTACTTTGAAACCACAACACATTTACAATGTAATTCAATTCATGTAACTTGTTCCTCGCCTCCAAAACGGTTTGGAAATCACTTTGTGGCAGTCGTGTCTGTTTTTTTTGTTTTGTTTTTTATATGCTATAAATAAACTTGACCTTGACCATGTTCTATCCCTAGTTTTCACACACATGTATTTTTGCCGCTTTCTCAGTGATATCCAATCAGCTCTCAGTATCCATCCATCCATTTTCTTCTGCTTTATCCGTTGCCCCAGATTTCCGATCACCACGCACTTCCTCCAGCTCATCTGGGGGAATCCCGAGGCGATCCCAGGCCAGCTGCCCCTATGCAAAACACATTATGGTCTGATTTGTTCACAAAATGATACTTTGAAACTACAATCTCCTGCTTTAAGTTAGAGGGACCTTCATGGGGGACTGGTTCAAAGACTTGGTTCTCATTTGGCTGACTGACTGCTGTTCATAGCCAGACTAATACTCTCAGTTTCACATCACTCTGAAACCTATGGATATCAACTGTCATTACATGGACAGATTTAGCTCATAAGAAGGGTTAAAATAGCCTCATGACGTCGCCCATATTGTAACGACGTGTCCAAAGGGAGTCCTCTGCACACTGCTGGACTGCACCTCATCATTCCTTCATGTATCTGTATGTAATGCATGTAATCTGGGCACCATCACTCAGCACGTGTAATTCTGTTGGCAGGTCTTGTCAAACAGCATATACGTTACGAGACGGGGTGACTTTGAACTGCCGCTAATGACCCGAGGACGTAACTCCCACCCCCCTCGCCTTTCTCTGCTCGCACACTTGGTCCCTTTATGTCCAGGGCTGTCATGAAGGGTGAGGGTCGTTGGCGTTCTTCAGAGAAATGCCATAGTCACCTCATCAGAACAAGACCTCTGGATACGACAGGGGAGGAGACTTTGAGGTAGTTGTGTTGGTAGTGTTTGGATGGAGAAGGGTTGAGTTGTAGTGTTGTATGGTCAAATATTTCGACAACAGTGCAATGAATTACATTTTTTCCAGTTCAATTAAATTTTTTTTTTCGTATGGCCCTAAATCAGGACAGTAGTTGTCTTAATAGACTTAGAAAAACCGTTGGATTCATTGTTCTTTTTTATGCCTGATCTTGGAAGCTAGGCAGGGTTTGGTCTGGTTAGTTCTGGATGGGAGACTGTTTGGGGGTATATCATAGGCACCATAGATGAGAAGTTGTGTTTTTATTTTTTTTAATCACGGTTCAAATATGGCCAAAGAAACAATTGGCTGACACTTCTGACTGAAAATATAGATATATAGATAACACTAAAATCAGTTTTGGCCATAGCTACGTTATCTTATTTGCGTTGTATGGTATGCATATTGTACTGTGTTGTTAGATCTATCAGGTAAAAAAGGCAATTCCAAAGGTAATTCTGAAAAAAAAAAACATAACATTTACAGTACCATTTATGCAAGTTTTTTGTAGGAATAATAACTTGTATCCATGTATATGATCAGACTCTATACCTGCACAAGAGTGGAAAGAAGTGACATGCTTTTTCCATCATTTGTTTTTTCAGACAAGGCATATCACTGAATTAAACATTGACAATCCATCACTTAGAACAAGTTAAAAGCCTAAACACGCTCCGACAAGCTGCATTTATTTATTTAGACATTTATTTAAAGAGGAATTTTGTCTCCTGCAGGCCACCGTAGAGCTAGGAGCGTGTCCGGCCCTGTGCCAGCTGTTTAAATCTTTACCAAACAAAAGAGAGACAGCTCCTTATTGAGTCAGCCACTAGTGTTTTCATTAACTGTTTAAACTGGCCCGCTCCCAGCCTTAAGTAAGAGAAATCGAGACGCATAACCAGCGCTTTTTTAAAACCTAATTCTCAGCTGACCTAAGGGACGCATAACGAAAACAAACTCCCTCCACCAGCTTGTTAAAACGAAGCTAAAAACCAACAGTGGTGGGTCTGGCTGGCTCAGGGAAGAGGGGAGAGGAGGGGGAGAGGAGGGGAGAGGAGGGGGGAGGAGGGGAGAGGAGGGGAGAGGAGGGGGGAGGAGGGGGGAGGAGGGGAGAGGAGGGGAGAGGAGGGGGGAGGAGGGGAGAGGAGGGGAGAGGAGGGGGGAGGAGGGGAGGAGGAGGGGAGAGGGGGGGGAGGAGGGGGGAGGAGGGGGGAGGAGGGGTCTGTCGGCGGGTTGGAAAAGGCGACTGTGACGAGGCGCAGTTACAGATTGAGTGATGTGGAATGACAACGTTGGACAATTGGATGGAGAATATTCAAATCATTTTTTCATATTGACATTTGACTATGAGTAATGCTAATGTAATGTTTATACTTTTTTTGATAGATTTTAGAATGGATTTTTTTTTCCTGTGCTAATTGTTGGATACGTCTGTTTTTTTATCTTGTACAATTTCTATTTTTTAAAGCTGAGGTACCTATTTTTTTAATGTGTTTGGAGCAACTGAGAGTTTTGTACAAGTTATTATTAATTCAATTCCATTCCATTTATTTTTGTATAGCCCTAAATCACAAGAGTAAATATCTCGAGGACTTAACAAAGCCGTTGATTTCACCAACACAGATTAGAGAATCAACAGTTCAAACACAAGAAATGCAGGGACACAAACACATAGAGCCATTGGTCCATAAGGGGCAGATGACAAATGTCCATAAATTATGATAAATGTAAATAATGTTGGGTTAAATTTCCTAATTAATTGTATTATTATTATTTTACAAACAGTGGACTTTTCAAGGCAATGCAATATTTTTTCCATTGGTCCAAAAGCAATAATTTCAAATGTTTATCAAACGCATATATATAGAAACAGCTCACACAGTTGTCTCATTTTATCAGTAAAACTTTCTCACCTCGTTTTTTTTCCAGCACCTCACAAGGACACGTTCTTTTGCACAAACCCTTCACCTGGTATTTAGGTCATGCGCCTGATTTCAATGTACTCTCGAAAGAGCAAAGAGGAAAACGCAGCTGGAAGGATTTTCTTTTCGCTCAAGTCAAGTTTGAATACCTTTTCACTGACATAATATTAACCGTATGTTACTATTCTATGAAAGGGACATTTTTGCTAGTATTGTCGAGATTGTCTTCAAGATTCTCGTAAAGTGCCACGATGAGGGATTCCAACATAAGCTCATTTTTGTACGCCATATAAAGGCTATAATTATGATTTAAAAGACTACAGTATCCATACTTCTGGCTTGTTGTACAATTATATAGAAAAACCTCCTCTTGGTCCCTGTGGTGGTATGAGTCATGGCAACTCTTTGATGGAGCTTTAGGAAATGTTTGGCTTTTCGGCAAGAACAGTTAAAAAGAAAAAGAAAACTGTAAAAAAATGTCTTGAAAGCGAAGTGGCGGACTACTTTTCTAGCATTGACATTGTTAAGGTGCCTGCAAAGTTCCACGGTGTTGCATTAAAGGTGCCTCTCTTTCACATTCTAAAACAGGTATTCTAAAAATGGCTTGAAAAACAGCTTGTGCGTGGGGTTGACTTTCCACAAATATGACTTGGAACTTGGCCGAGTGGCATCATCTGTTTGTTTCCATAGTTCAAAGGCAGACTATGGCATTATAATGGAAAGAAAACAGGCTCCACGGGTGGGAACTTGGAGCTCGTTCTGCAAAATCCCAATTTGGGGTCATATCTAAATTCACAAATACAATATAGAAATAGAAACACTAGGAACATGTGTGTTTATAATATATATAGATAGACTTAGTGAGTAGGAGCAAAACTTCACCCTTGAGCACTTCCCTTTTAGGCCACGCAGAGCCATAGCAAGGTTGCACCATCTATACTGCATATTAGAGATAAATTATATACCCACTGTTAAAAATCTTATCCAAGAATTAGCAATGCTTTTTTGGTATTTCCATCAAGCTAGAATACCTGTGGAGAAGTAGGCCAAAACGTGTGCATGTGTGATCTATTTTTGGAGTGGATTTTTTGACTGTACTCGAATACGGTTCCCCTTTTGAAGAGCGGCGAGTGAAGTGGCGTCTGGACTGTGGGATCGCCGCGGCTCTTCTTGTTGCCATGGCGTTTTGTTGCGGGCACAAAACGGGGTCCAGTGGCTGCGCGCCGACTCGAGCTGCTGTTTGTTAAAGATAAGTGAAAAATGCCAGAGGGGACGAGATGCCAGACATCGAGATTTCTTTTTTCTCTTCTTTTTCTTTTTAACTGCAGGACGTGAGACTGGAAAAAAAATGACTATCTACCTCTGGCCTTCCCTTGGTCTGGGGCATTTGGATCGAACGCATCATACTACCCCTTTAAACAACCAGCCTCTGACCCACAGCAGCCCCCAACACTATCAAAGCCCGTCTGAGTTTTGATATGGGATTGGGTTTCAGCTGGTCTATCCTGGTCTCTCTGATTCTCTTCAACGGTTTTTATCACTACACTGCAAAAAAGCAAAACAATAAGGGTTTCCTCTAGTTTGTTTTTCAAGTATTTTGATCATTCACATACCTACAGCCATTACAATTGCATGCTTTTATATGTATTTTATGGACCTCAAACTGTCATACTGTATCCCATCCAAGACCAGCTCAGCATTATAATGAGTGTTTTAAGATATTCTTTGTTTTTTCTGCTATACTATATAACAGATTAGTTTTAGAATTATGGGTAATGTGTTTGCTGCTGCTGGACACCTGAGTATCCTCTATGGGAGATCAACAAAGTATCTATCTATCTCTATATTTATCTCAGCCTCCCATGTTTGTGCCGAAATCTAATAGATATAGGAAGAAACTGAAATTACTTTTGTAACTTGTAAGTGATCCTCAATCCTCAATCATGTAGAAAACTCAACTCACCAAAAACTGAAATACGGTTTTTGTACAGTGCGGAATGAGCTATATCATGCAGAGACAAATAAATGAATGAATGTGGTGAAGAAAGAGTGAAAGACGGAGAGAGAGAGAGAGAGTTCCGACGTGTGGGTTATTCCTCTTCATCACTGGGAACACGAGAGTCGGGTCGTGCCAACTGCTTTTTTTCTGAATCCATTATTCATTGGACGTATTGATTCTGAATCCTTGGTGGAATTTAATAGCGGAAAATGCTAAGGGCAAAGATCTGTTTACTGTAATAGCCTTTTATATTTCTGTAGCTGAGATAAAAATACACAAACGTTTCTGGTGGAGTTAAGACTTTGAAAATAAGTGGCTGATCTCATGGTCGGTTTTACACAGTGACGAGTGAGTTGGAAATCTGTTGTACAGACGAGTGAAATGTGATCCAATAACCTACATTAGACACACAGACTTTTCAATGATGTGGTGTTTGATTTAGGTTCAATTACATCAGAGCTCGGGAACCTTTTCAGCTGAGAGAGGCAAAAAAAATCTCATACTTAAAAATGTCTTTCTGTGGGAGCCATGCACAAGATCAGCACATTTAGAGAGATTTTAGTCTCAAAATGTATTTTTTGTTTAATAAGATTTGTATACACATTCTTTTAATGCTTACTAAGTATATGAGAGCCAGACACAATCATCAAAAAAGCCATAGGTTCCTGAATTTGATCGTTTTAAAACAGGAATTTGACTCAAATTTGCATAAATAATTTGAATTTTTTGCAATGGAAAATATATTTTTTAATGAGCTGACACAATGTACTCATTAGCATTGAAGCAGACAGAGAACAGCGGTGAAATTAGTATCTAAGAATAACAGTTTATGTTGACTTGATTAGATATCGCTGCAGAGTTGTTAGCACTCTTGCTTACAGCTGGATTCTGGTCGGAATAGGGCTTTCTGAGTGGAGTTTGCATGTTCTCCCTATGTCTCATTAGGTTTCCTCTGAGTGCTCTGGTTTCCCCTACCACTGAAAGCATGTACATTTGGGATTCTTCCTCTGCATTTGACCCATCATATACTGTACTGTCACATATAGTGGCGCACTGCATCACTACTTAAAGAAAATAAAAAAACTGAAACACACACAAATACACTTTGCTGTGTTAAATTTAGCTGGAAAACAGTTGGGTCCCAGTTTAGTCCTAGTTTTGACTTTATAACTTGGTTTGTTGGACGATTCCTAACCTTGCTCATTTGATCTCCTGTTTTTGTTGGTGCCTCTAGTCCTTTCCTTCCACTTTTTATTATTATTTTTTCAACAGTATTTGATTAGTATTGTCATAATGTATTTGTTTCATTATTGGGCAAAACACTCCATATTTATTGAATTGTGTCAGCTTAAATATATTATAAATCTGAGACTTGAGACATCCTTATTGACATAATTGTATATAATTGTGTGTAACTTTTGCTGCCTCTTACCCAGGACTCCCTTGAAAAATAGGTTCTTAATCTCAATGGGAGTTGAGATTAAGAAATCAAATATTTGAGTGAATTTGAGAAGGTGTTTTAAATGCATATATGTACATTTGCAGCCCCACGTCCGTCAGTGTGACCATGTGGAAGTGAGGAGTGAATGAATAAAACATGAGCCCGTATAGTGTCTTGGAGTGTCTGGAAAGCGCTACCTACGGCTAATGCATTACTATTATTATCACAACGTTAAGTCAATATTTGAAGAGTAAGACATCACATGGTAAACTAAAGCTATTGCGCATTTTGTACAGTGATCGGAGGCTGGATTTCTTTTTGCAGTTGCGTTGCCACAAATAAATGACCTACATTAGCCAGGCCAGTGCTCTTCAATTCTGAACAGGAGGGGCAAAATGCGCTTGTACGTGTGTCAATGCTAAATAATTGAGTTTGAGCTGATATTGAAGGAATGAGGAGTTCGCTGGGTTCACATAGGTCCAAAGAAAGACTACATTTTTATTAACAAGGTAATGTAAGATGGCGGAAGAAAAGTTGGCTTTTCAGGGATTAAGATTCTCTAACTCTGGCATGAAGAAGAAACAGGTATAAAATCTCTATATTTAGCATAATGAGTGCAAAAACTCTGACTTTAGCATAATAAAGAAGTATAAAATCTCTACCTTTTGCATGATAAGAAGCAAGTTAAAGTACTGTATATATATTGCAAGTAATATATAGTTGTGTGTATACAGTACATCTGTACATGTTAGCAGCATGAGGGTCTGGAATAAAGTGACTCAGTAGTGCAACAGTGGACACTTTATTTCGAGCCATGGCAAACAAGAACAAAGAACAACATAGAATAGAAAGATAAACAATGCATGATAATATACAAATATACAGTATTTTTTGTTGTATTAACAAATATCCAGCTCAAAAAGTGGGAACAAGTTAAGACATGTGGTTCTATATTGCACATTCTGACATTAGTTCAAGATATTGCACCGATGCACAACATTTGAGGTCAGGTCGGCAGTGTTCGTTAGTCCTCATTGTTTGCTGTACAGTCTGACAGCAGCAGGAAGGAAAGCGGAACCTCTCCTTATACACAGCGAGGAGGACAAGTGACACAAACATGCAGGAACCACTCTCAATACAACTTTGAGTAGATACACACAAGTAAAAGTTGTGTTGCTAGTCCCCTCAAATACAGAGCAGCGATTTAATTTCTGATTGCAATTACTTCACCAAAGCCATATTGTCGTCTACTGCAAACACGATTCATCACAGCAGTTGTTCTGGTACTGACGCAGAGGTGGCGGCTGCGTTTCGCCTTCCAGACTCCTGCTCATTTATTGATGTCCTCCCGGTGCTGTCTAATTAGTTTGCATTTTGTCGTGGTCTCCCATGACATCAAAGATTAAGAGGACAAAACTTTGTTAACCGCGGCTTTCTTAATCCAGTAGTTTTTCCATGTTTCGCACTCGACGATTATCAAAGTGGCCATATGGACGTGTATGTGGTGCGACGCTGTGGAGTCGCAATCAAAAGACTTTTATGCAAATCAAATTCATTAATTGTCAAGTATATTACATGTACGGACAAAAGAGTAAACAAAGGAGTGTGAAATGAAGATATGTATGTAGATAGATAAAATATATATATTTATAAAAATCAATTGCAAGTGAATTTTCTCATCACAAAGCTGTTTACTGATTCAACCTATTTGTTGTCTGTAAAAAAAGGAGATTAGAATGGAATATGAGCCTATATCTTGTAAGAAAATGGTTTCATCTGTTTCTTGCTACTGCTGCTATATTCATAATCTTTCAAACATAAAGATTTGCTTGTCAATTCTCTGATCTGTTTTTGGCGAATCGACAACTTTGTAAAGTCCTCCAAGACGACTAATGTTATGATTTAGGGCTGTAGATAAAAACATACATTTATTTGAATACAACTCCCAATGTTACTTTATGCAGTGGCCATACCTGCATGTGAGAGCCAGATCCTGTCACACCTCTGAAGCTGTGCAGGGCAGGGCCAGGTTAGTACTGTGATGGGAGACCTCTGCAAAGACCAGGTGCCTCAGTCAGGAGGATGCAAAGTGCCAAGCTGGTGTTGTGTCCTTAGGCAAGACACTTCACCCACATTGCCTAGAATGAGTCTGGTGTGTGTGTGTGAATGGCTGGTGGTGGTCAAAGTGGCAGATGGCACAAACTGTCTTGTTTCTCTCAGCGTCTTCGAGTGTCCTGAAACGTGCTTTTTAAAACAGATGCACTATTATTTAGCGTACATAATGACAACCTATAGCACACTTATAGTGGCGGAGCTAAATATGGCTGGATGACACTGTGAACCTGTGCATAATCTCAATAGCTATGGGAGAGCGGAGGCAGAGGATCACATAAAATCGGGACATATCTGATCTAACCATTCACTCTTCCACCAACCGTTGTCCTATATTCAACAAACCCCTGCACAAATCTATTTTTATTGTATCGCAAACTTTTACAAAATATGTGTTGTTGAGCCTCCAGATCATTTTTCAATTTGAGAGTTCTGGGTCCACTTCTTTAAATACATCGTACACTATGTGCCTATTATGGCCGTAGCTGCTGCAGTGTGGAGGACAGTGTAGTGTACGTAGTAACAGGAGCGGACGCAGCTTGGGTGACTCATATTTCTAAGGTTATTTGTGGCTATATTTAGGATTTATCGCTCACAGAGTCATTTGTACTCCTCAGTCTGCAGGACG